ACTAATCCTCCCTAATTTAGCCCTTAAGCTGCTACGCGATACGAGTTTTGCCTACTTACGCGCCTACGCGCTAGCGGTTATCGTAGTAGCGAACCCGACTTACTCCTTTACGAAAGCGAGTTAGAGAAGCGCTGTCGAATCGCTTACGACTAGGCGTAATTAGAGCGCGACGTTAGCGGCCTATCTGTTCGACGGCGCTTAGTAGGACACTCCGCTACTTTGCGGCTATTAGATCTTCTAAAAGATCGACGCTATCTAGCGCGATAATCCGGCTTAGTCGTAGAACCTATACCTCGATACGTAGGACTTCGTACCTAAGAGCGCTAATACTATAGATACGATCGAGGGAGAGTACGTTTAGCGCTATCGACCTAACTACGCGCACCTACGGGACTATACCGAGGGCGATACCTATTATTTGCATTGCGATTAGTATAACCCTACCGCCGATATAGGGCTAGACGTACTAGAAGCTCTAAGGGATAGATACGAAAGCGTACGTAAGACGCTTAACGAGGCTCTTAAGGAAGTACGCGCTCGGTTAATAGGCCTAGAACATTCGATAGACAACGGACTGTAGGTAGAGCGTACGTCGACGTTATAAGCAGCACCGGCGATCTTATTGTCGTTAGGACAATTAACTTTACCTCCGCGGTCTCCGTAGCTGCCGCCGAAGTTACTAGGACAATCGACTTTAGCGTAATAACAATCGACTTTACCGCCGCTATCTCCGTAGTTCCTAGCCGCACTACCGAAATTATTATTACCTATACCGTAGCTACGATCTTAAGCGCTATTCTCGTACTTATAGGCCCTACCGACATCTCGATTACGCGCTTAGCCGGCGTCTACGCGTTCTCGCCTACGACCTGCGTCCCTAGAGGCGCTACCGCTAGTGCTCTAACTATTACGATTGAGACTACTAACTAACGATATAATTGCTAAGCGAATTATTTATTTCGCCCTACCTTCGCCCGGTCGTCGGCCCTAATTATACTAATTCTAGCGCGACGCCGAATTTACTTAGTACTAGCGCACTATCGACGAGTTAAGAACGCGCGGCTTCGTCGGACAGTCGGAAACGCTAGAGGCCGCTTGTATCCGCTAGCTAAAAGAAGCGGAGGAGTGCGACTTCTTAGTAGCTAGAATCCGGTTTATAGGCATTAAGGGCGATAAGGAGTTTTACAGTAACCGTTACTACGATAGAGCGTAACACATCTTCTAAGCTTTATTTAAATAGGACGTAAACAGTGCCTTACTAGAGCTGTTTCGCCTAAACAAGCCTTACGATTAGCAGGTAGAACATATTTAGACACGCTTAAAGCTCTACCCGCTCTATCTAAAGTTGTTATATTACGACAACCCGATATAGATCCCTACCGAACTGTATTACTATACTGCGTAACCGGTATACGACGTAGACGCTACCCTTTAGGAACGCGAATACGACAAGCTAGTTACGACCTTCTATATCCTAGACGGCGGCCTAGAACTCGACTACTCTATTTTCCGTATACTAGAGTTAATCGAGAAGTGTAACTATCCGGATAACGAGTACGATCTTCCTAATTATACCGATCCTATAGCGGAACGCACCCTTATTCGGTTGTATACGCGTAGAGCCCTCGATACCGACGGCCGTCTACTCGATTTTCTAACGTTAGATACGAAATTTAGAGGAATTTTCCCGCGATTAGTAACGTTTTAGTCCGCGTACTTACGCTACGGACCGGACGCCGTCGACGATTAGCCTCTAACCGACTACCGCTTCTTTACGCAACTACCGCCTCTACGATATCGCGTAATCGGTCTTACCGTCCGCTAATTTATACGAAACGTATAGCATCTGCTAGCGCTCCCGCTTATTGCAGCCTATAACTAGGTCGAAGAGACACTTCCGTTCGACTATATCGTCGCTATTATAGGCAACGGACGCCCTGCCCTATATACCCGCGCCGTCGACGGTTCGGATATTACCTATTGTACCTAAGGCGTCGACCGCGAGGTTAGTATAAGAATTGCCTAGGAAAAGGGTAGTAAGGCCGATCTTACTAACGCTCTAGTCTACTAATTCCTATTCGACCCTATTATAGGTCGACTCTCTACGCTTCGCTTCCCTCTAGAAAACGCGCAAATTAGCGACTAATGCGTCTATATACTAATGCGTATAAAGGTCGCTAGCCTTATTAGCGCCGAATAGCTATAGCGATACTAGTTAACGACGTTTAACGCTTAAGGTCTCCTATTGCCGTAGCGTCGCTAGTTAGGCGAACCGGCGGTTACTTAGGACGTTAAGGATTACTATTAGCGCTATGTCTACGTATACGGCGTCTATTCCCTACGGGGAGAGGGCTATACCGCCGACCTAGTCGACCCTAATAAGATATACGACGATATAGTAACACACAAATCGTACGGATATCCTTAGGTTCTAGTAGGATATCGCGAGTATATAAGCTACGCCGAGGCTAAACTTAAGAAGATCCCTATACTTACTCTCGATAAGAAGATCGCCCTCGATTAGGACGCGATCGTATAGCTATCCTTTAGAGATAAGGACTATATAAGTAACCTATTTAAGGCCTATATAGACAAGATTATAGCGAACCTACCCGCTAGCTTTAGAGTGCCCTTAGGAATCTTAAAGAACTAGCCTAAGAAGAAGATAAACAAGCAACTAGTGCCTAACGCCTTCGTACCGGCAGCTACGAGAGATAATGTAGTTAATTCGCTCGCGGATCGTAACGAGAGCGCTCGTTAGTATAACGTCGACGAGACGTAGGACCCGGTATCTTCCTACCTTATTCCTAACGATAACTATAAGCTAGATAAGGGTGATACTACGAACGCCGTTACTTTCGGTAAGATTCTGCCTTAGGCCGCCCTACCTCCGTCGCGGAGCTAAAACAACGGGTCGCGAGGTAGCCGCGTTAATAAACAGCTAGAGGCTAACAAGCTAAGTCGCATACGACTACGCGTAGACAGCAACTATAGCATACCGCCACTACCGCCGCCGTCGCGCAAGGAGAGCAATAATACCGAAAATACCGCTATATTTGCTAGCGCGATCGAGTAGGTAGACCTTAAATTGCTACTACTTCCGACCCTGCCCCTCTACGCTCTAAGCGGCGCTAGAGGCCGCCTATAACTAGTAGTTAATTAGACGATACTTACTAACCGCTCCCTTAACTAGAACGCACTTCTCGTATATCGATAGGCTAAGTATTACGACTACCTTATAGCGCAGATAAAGGATAGTAGAGATGCAATGCTAGTAACGGCCGCTTAGAACCGCGTAGTAGTATAGGTCGCGCTTTAGACCGGCAAGCAAAACATAGCGCTCCTCGCGGACGATTTTCTCCGCGATGCTACTAGCAACCTACCTACCGTCGCCTTAGTTCCGGCCGATTCGCTAGCAATTCTCGGCGGTAGTATTAGTAATACTACTAAAGAGGAGATTAACGGCCTATAGGAGGTAACCGATCGATACCTAGGCAAATACACTTTAGACCTAGACGCCCGCTATAGCGACGGCTTAATCGATTTTAGTAAGCTTACGGAGAAGATAATGCCTAACGCGGCGCTAGACACTACCTACGAGACGGCGGCGCATATAGCTAAGGTTATAAGCCTATATAACAGTATCGCTAAGGAGATAGATCTATACGTCCTCCGTAAGAAGGCTACTATTATACCGACCGTTACTCGGCTAGAGCCCTCTACGGAGACCCTAGAGTCGAAGCGCAAGCGTAAGCGCGATGCCCTTAACGCCTAGGCCGACGACGGGTCGCTATCTATCCCTAAGCGTAGTAGAAAGCATCTATTAGTATAAGTATTAGTACACGACTAATAGGATATAGTGCAGAAGTTACCTATTAGTATAAGTATTAGTATACGATTAACAGGATATAGTGCAAATAGTATAAGCATTAGCATTAGTAGATACAGTACTAAGAAGCATTAGGCGGCGTATTATATACGAGGGCGTATAAGTCTTTCCTTTTAGGGGGGAGGTTGTTACGGTTTAGATAGTAGTGCGGCCGATCCTACTCCGGATACTATCGATCCTACCGCAGATTAGGACGATTGATATATATAGTTTCCTAGGCTAGTAACTAACTAACAATCAATCATCTTTGTATACTAGAATCGTGTCCGTCTCCGCTCTATAAAGCGTATCCTAATACCTACTAACTAAGAGTCTAAAGGAATTAATAGCGCGTATCTAGACTAGTTACGGTAGCAAACTACTACTTAGATACTAGTACTTATACTAAGCTCTACGAAACTATATACTATAGCTAGAACAAACTACTATATAACTTAAAAAAGTATAACTATATAATAGGGGTTATATTAGTAGGTAGATAGGGTAGTAGTAGGTATAGGTAGTATTCGATAGAGAACTAGGAGGAGAAGGAGGAAGGCAGGCTAGTTAGCCTAACGCTAAGCGCCAAGCCCTACCTAAGGCACTAAGACCCTAGCTTTACTCGGCCTAATTATATACTAATTACGTATAGCCTCTTTAGCCCTAATAAACTACAATTAAGAATTGTAAGACTAGTAAGGTTTCCTTAATAAACTAGGGCATATATATATAGAAACTAAAATAATAATATTCTCTAAAACTAGTATCGTATTCCTAGAACCTTATAAATAGCTACATTATATATAATATAAAGATACCTAGGCCTATAGTTGTAGAGTCTAAGAGCCTTTAGCTATCCAATTTTACTAGCCTCGGTAATTGAGATATATATACGATTAGTAATCAAAACAAATACATTGCAAGCTGCCAGTCTTGGAACGCGATAGTGTTCCACAACACTTCCTAGTACTCACGATATATATATATATATATATATATTTATATGGACCTGCACAGCTTGATGCGGCAGCTACAATGTTGAGAATCAGCATAGTGATGAACGCATCATTGGTAGGAGGATCCATGTTGCAGGGTGTAGACTCAATGGCTTCCAACTCAAGACATCGAAAAGCACGAAAGAGAAATGCTCAGTATGCTCACTTTTCGGCTAGGAATAAGAAATACATGACTGAGGTCTGTCTGCCTTTGTAGCCTCCTCGTCAAGTCCGCGTCCGCGTCCAACCTGTACTGAACTTCCCTAGCTCAATCCTAGGTAGCACATGAGCTTCTGTATTGAAAACGACCCTATCAAGCGGTAGAAAATCGACAGGCGAAAACAGAAGATACAAATACTTCAGCGTCTCGGCCTGAACACGGAAGGGAACAAGTCAGCAAAGAAAAAAATCACGTCTCGAGCTCGGACACTTCGAAAGAACACATACCAGCCAAAAGCTTTCCATATTGTCGCGACGCGGGGGAGGGATTTCGTTGACGTTCTCTAACGACGTGTAGCCTCCGGCGAGTTCGACGGCTGTGTGTTTCCGGAAAGCATTGAAAATCTCGAGTCCCCATTGTCGATATTTCGAATCTCCCGTGATACGCCACATCACAAAAAGGCTCTCGACGCTCTCCGGTCTCTGGAGATTGTGGGCATCCAAGGGCTTAATGATAAAGTCGTCTCTCCACTCGTCCGGAGAGTTTCGACTTTTTCGTATGCGGGCACTAGATGTGCGCTGTTCGTCCATATTGAACCATACAATCTCCGGCGCGAGGCCGGTCTTTGTGACCTTGTACATCGCATGACAGGACTTCATCAGCTCTCGCGCCAGATGCATTTCTTTGCTTTTCTGTGCGGTCCAGGTGGGTAGTTTTCTGGCTGCTTGCTCTGTAAGGCCATTTGTAGCGCCGAGAGCGATTGCTCCGGGCAGAAAGCAGACGAGATGGTCCATTTTGGGAGATAATGGGCCGCCGACGCCTTGCGGAAGTTCAGCGACCATGAGTAGCTTTGAATTTTTCGTCGGCACGAGGAGGTGTTGTTCAATGCCATGTAAGGATTCCTGCCACATGTCGAGATAGACCGGCTCCTGCTCGGAAGTGTGAAGATATTGTTTGATGAGGTACTCTGGATAGCATCAGCGAGGATTCGCCCAAGGACAAGCAGAGCTCATACAGACCGTAGTAAGAATCACCTCGGCTTCCAAGGCGTACTTCACCTGTCGTGAATCTTCCGCTATCTGCATTTATGAAAATGGGCACTAAACCAGCAGCCGCTCGTTGCTCGTCAACCACTTTCATCACATTCTCTGCTCTGCGCCAATATGCCTCCACTCCGGTCAAATTGGCAAGGTATTTCATCTCCATTTGCAACGTAGTGGCTTCAGCCGTCGAAGAAGATCCGCCATCGGAATGCGACCGAATGCCTTTCCCTGACCTGAGATCAATACTGGCAAATGGGATGCCCGATGGACTGTCATAGGCACCGAGTAGCCTATCGGCCAGGTCTCTGGCCTTGGAGAGATACACATAGTCCCTAGCGGAAGACATGCCAGGCAGTTCTTTCGACAAATAGTGTGCGGAAAGAAGGCCCCCAAGCATTCTAATCGTCGTCTCGAAAGTGTTGACATCCTGGTCTTGCTCGTAATCCAGACTACGAGACACCCATCGACGCGCATCAGCGAGACGTGAGGTCAGATTCATTAGCATAAGCGTATCCAGGCTGTCCACAATAATCCAGCCCAAGCCTTTCGGACTCATCTGCGAGCCTTTCTTCGATAGAGGATGGAATCTATCGTGACCTGCTTGACATCAGTAATTCTATCCGAAGAATTTTTTTCCTCAATCTCATACCCCACGCATGCTCGGCGTATGCATCCCAGCTGTCAATGAATACCTCTTTCACTTCTTCCCGATGCCTGTCCCAGTCTTCTCTGGAGAACTGCGCCCGGGTTCTTTCCAGTGCCTCGGATCCTCTATCAGTGAGAACTATCCACCAGAGTAGGAGCAATGTTGCTGCCAGAAGTGTTGTGCTGATCCGTCCGAGTCCAGACCAGCGCGCCATCGATCTTGGCATCTGCTTTGGTCTTGGATGCTCGTCCGGACTGTGCCGGGCCTGAGACCGCGGAGGCGATCGCTTCGGAGACTGTCTCGACTTCATCAGGATTGCTCGTGGCCGCGCAGAAAGCTCTGAGTGCAGAAACAGACTGGCGGAAGCGGGCTTTAAGATTCATTTCTTGTTGACCAGGCCTCACCGGGATGAACACGCCACAGCCTCGTTGATGGACCCGTTGCTTTAGGCGGCTCATATGGCACAGGGCGCGAGCAAGAGCTGAACAGCGTGGCGCGCCGGAACGGGTTTGGGGGCGGATGCAAGTGACCAGGTATAGAATTGTGATAACCAGATACCATGTTCTGAGCAAAAGTGACCATCTTTATGATCTTGGCCAGAAGGCAGCATCCCTTCACTCGCAGGATGAACCTGATGAATCGACTCAGATCAGTGAAGCAGTCCATGCCTCACTTTTCGAGACTTAAGCCCCCAGTCTGGACGCGAGTTTGAAGCCTTGCTGTAAACATTCTTCGCCGTCGGACCCCTTCTTCTCAATTCGGACCAATGCTGTAAGCAGCGACATGTTCTGCCTGTGGGACCTGGATCCGTTACATGGCTGTTATCCATTTGATACCTAATGATTAACCTCTGCCGATTTTGGCGCCATCTTGCCGCCCGGCACGAGGGCGGCAGTTATCCCATTCGCTATCAGAATGCCGGGGGGTGGAGATGGTGTTGGATGCAGCAGACTTTTAGCGTGCAAGGGTTATAGTGGATTGCTTACATTTACGGATATACTCGGTAGTAGTAGAGTCGATTAATGAATCGAGATATAGCTATTTTTGCTAGCCAAATTAGGCATACCGAGGATCTATTAGTCGCCGACTTTATATCGTAGTAGGAAGTCGTTATATCGACGAAAAATTAGCTATATAGCTATATATAAGGTATTATTATAGGTATATAGGTAGGCTAATTTCTACGCTCTTTCTAACTATTATAATAGCCTATCTAATCCCCTCTTATCTCGATATATTACTACGTTCTTAGCTCTTTAATCTACCCTTAAATAGCCTATTCTTAGACGCCGACAAATATAATAAGGTATAGCTATTTGCTAGTAACTTCTAGTACTAGAAGCTATAGGAGAGGCATAAGGATAGCTTAATATAGCGGACAATATACTATTATCGTTATCGGTAGGATACTAATCGGCTACGCGAGGTACTAGATAGTATTCGGAAGGTAGAGTATTATAAGGAAGGATATAATACGACGTATATAGTAATTGCTATATATCGCTCGAAGAACTATAGAGAGCTATATATATATAAGGTCGCTTCGTCGTCGCCCGACCCTTCTACCGAGGCAGGCTCGCTATATTACTATTCGATAGATTATATAGTAAGTTTAGTAGGGTTGCCTCTCGAGTCGATAGCGGAGGCCTATTTAAGTCGAGTTAGAAGCTAATAGTAAGTAGGACGTACGAGGTACTAGTAACGGCTTAAAGGTCGTTCTCGAGCGCTTAATAGACTAATATAACTATAATATAGCTCGTATATTCTATCTAATAAAGGAAGGTCGTAACGCTAACCGCTTTGCCGTTATTAGAGGCTATCGTATAAAGGAAGGTATAATAAAATAGTCTAAGAAGAAGGATAAGAAGAAGGTAACCTTTACTAAGAAGGGCAATATCTCCCTCTAACTCGAGAACCTATATAACGAGCTGTCGCTATTAACTAATCTAGTAAACGGCGCTTAGTTATAGTATAAAGCTATATTAGCAACTATAGAAGGGCGCCTTTATAAGGGTATTATATAGCAGGCGGATTAGTAGAGGCAGTTATTAGATAATAGATTAGTAGGAGATATAAGCATACTACTACTACTACCCCGCTTATATAATTAGGCTATAGGAACCGCAAAGCAGCGACTAATCTAGGATTAGTTAACTTGATATAAACTGTAATGTATTTAGAAGAGGGCTAATCTATAGGAAGCCTAAAGATGAAGTGCGTAGTTTCAGCCTTAGGCATTATGCACGTAATACCACACACACTACATACTTCAAGTTACCCCCTTATCGCGTACATACAGCCAAATAAGCAAAGCAAACAAAGGGGTATTAGGTGTAGAAACAACTAGACTACTTTCAGGCTATTGTAACAGAGCAATCAAATAAATACAAGCAATCTATTTAGTACTTAGCAGTAGGCTAAGCGGCGCTCTTAATAGCAGCCTTATAATCTACCAAGTTCAACTGTTTAACGAAGCGAGCGTACTTGAGCTTATTAAGCGGCTTAGTAAAGCTATTAGCAATCTAATCGTAAGTGCTAATCTAGGTGACGTTTATAGTACCGTCTGCGATCTTCTTACGGATGTAGTGCACTCGAGCATCTATGTGTTTAGTACGGCTATTAACACTCGTCGACTAAGTAATAGCAATAGCGGACTAATTGTCCTCGTATAGCGTAACAGGCTTAATAGTGCCCTTGTAACCAATCTCTTATAGCAACCGAGCTAAAGCAACGGCTTCCTTAGCGCTAGTTGTTAACTAAATATACTTAGCTTCTGTAGACGATAGAGTAACTAAGGTCTAGCGGCCTGACTTGTATAGTAGCGGTCCACTAGCGAGCGTAAAGTAGAAACCTCCTATAGAGCGACGAGTAACCGGATTATCTGCCTAGGAAGCGTTATAATATCTAGCAAAGTTGAGCTTATCGCTCTGTGTGCCTCGGAAACACAGACTACGGCTTAGAGTGCTAACTAGGTACTCAATAAGCTAGAGAAGTGCGGCATAGTGTTCCTTAGTTGGGTTAGAAATGTATCGTAATAACAGGCCTACAGTATAGCAAGCATTAGGTCGAGTGATTATTGCTAGCTATAGTGCTTTACTAACACCTTCCTAATACTAAGTCTTAAAGGCAGCGCTAGCAGTATAGCCCTTAGGTGCACGCTAAATCGATGTCTTAACGTATCGAGGTACTATTAGCGTAGCCGGTACTATACGGCCCTATATACTATACTTCTTACTAAGCCTATTCAAATAGGCATCTTAAACGACGTAAATAGTGCGCTAGTTACGGTCGCGAATAATCCGCATACTAAGATAGTAGTAAAGGTCGCCTAGTTCTCGTATATTAAAGCGGTCCTTTAGCAACTAAGCAATAGCTTCTAGTGCTAATAGAGTATAGGCGATGATAATTATATCATCTACGTAGATAACAATAATAGAGCCGCTAACAGTGTGTTTGAATATACACACATTAGCTACTATCGGCACGAAGTCTAGGCTCTTTAGGTACTTTCGAAGCTCTTCGTACTACAGCATTAGTAACTGCTTTAGACTATATAGTGCCTTTAGCAACAGACAGACTATATTCTTGCTACTACGGTCTTTAAAGCTATGTAGCTGCTCGACGTAGATCTTATACTTATCTCCGATAAGCGCATTAAGGAAGGCCGTTAGAATATCGTATTGCTTAGCCTCTAGGTCGTAATAAGCAATTAGGCCAAACAGTACTCGCAACGTAGATAGCTTAGCGACAGCCGCATAGGTTTCATTATAGTCCTGTCCTTCAACCTGTATAAAGCTACGGACAACCTATCGAGCCTTAAACCGGCTTACCTTACTATTAGCGTCACGCTTGATAGTGAATACCTATCGGCTACGGACAACCTTGCGACCTCTAGGTACTTCTAGCCGAGAAACGTATACCTATATATAGTTGTCTATTAATGACTTGTATTCAGCTTTATAGGCCTCCTTCTATTATAGCTAGTATAGTGACTCTTTTATAGCCTTAAAGCTCTTTAGAATTGGAATAGCCTCCTTATTCGGGTTCTACTTAGCAACGTAGTAGGCAGCTATAAAGCCCTTTATATAGGCTATAGGCATGTTAGCTATATTGCGGCGCGTAGAGCGCTAGACACTAGCATTAGCTAGATAGCTACGCAACAGTTTACGAGCGCTCTTGTTGCTTCGTATCTTGCGTATAGAACGACTACTAGTCTCGGTTGGCCGCTTAAACTCCGGCAACTAGCTAGGCTCGCCCTTCTTAGCGTAAGGATCGTACGCTAGTTCTTCCTCGGCTAACTGAAAGCTATCTTCATTACTTAAAGGCGGTTGAACAGCTAGCAGGTTATCGTCGAGCGGTAGCGGACTAGCGACCTTATTAGGCATTTGCTAAGCAGGTTCGTCCGGAGGCTCTTCTTGCTAGGCTAGAAGCTGCTAGACTACACTAGCGGCGTCGGTTAGTAACGGAGCCTCGTTGCTTATAGAATTGAATAGAGCCGGTATAATAGACTCGAGTGTAACAAACTCGTTCTTAGCTAGGTCGTTAGGATTGGCGTATAGATTTATGCCCTCTAGAAGCAATAGCTTACTAGCCGTCTCAATAAATTAGACATCCTTTAATAGAATAACCTTGTGCTAGTTAGGGAGGTAAATTATGTATTTTCCTAAGTCTACTAAGTCCTTAGTATAGCCGACTAGCTTGCTAATAAGGCCTCTACTATCTATCTTCTTTCCTCGAGCAACTCCGTAATTATATGCAACAGTAGTATAGCTATAGGTACGAAGATATTGAAGGCGTAGCTGCTTTCGAGACCAATTAAGCTCCCTAGCTACAATAGTATAGGGGCTAAGACCTTCTAAGGTTCTAGGAGTGATATTAAGGACCTATATAGCAGTAGTAACCGCATACAGCTATAGGGCCTTTGGCAAATTCGTATAGAACATTATCTTCCGAGCGGTCGTATATACGATATAGTTACTAACCTTAGCTAGGCTATTCTAAGTAGAAGAATAAGGTACTATAACCTGCAGTACAATGCCCTAATTACGAGCCTAGCTTAATAGCTAATTTCCGCCGTATTTACCCCCTCTATCGAGGCGGTAGATTAGGATCGAATAGCTAGTTTGTGTACGGACGTATATACGATGATCCTTAATAGCTACTATAGCCCCTAACTTCAGTAAGCTAGCATATTCGTGTCGATAGCCTAACTTAGCGCATGTGAATAGTGTAAAATAGCGCTCCTATAACAGACTAGGGTTAGTAATAGTAACTATATCTATATAGACAATGTAATAGATAGTAGATAGTCGTAC